GAGGTGTTGTTTGTAATTATAACAAATAACAGCTTTCATAATCAGACGAAATGTTTTAAGAAAACAAACAAAACTATTTGACTCGCAAAATTATTTAAACGTATTATTTTCGCAGTTTATTTCGGTGAAGTTAAAATGACGCCATTTTGCTATTTGACTTTAGTTACAGCAGACGATCAAATTTGTTCGTATATTCAATCTTTCTTTTTTTTTTTTTTGGTCATTAAATTAAGTACTGAAGATAATTCAACTGCTTAATAATCAAACTCATTATTCCAGCAGTTGTTTGTAGAAAAGTTGTAGTTCTTACATAATATTTGAGGAATTTAAGTGTATATTTTTCAAAACGTGATCAGCCCCCTGAAGCTATATGTGCGTGCGTTCTGAAAGTAGCTGTCAAATTACACTATTTGGTCAGACAAGAGCTGTCAAAGAATTCGCAGTGATTTTGTCTTCCCTATAGTTTACAAGTTCGAAATTTGGGACGGTTGTGCGCAGATATCCTGTTGTACAGCTATGCACTAAAATTCTAAAACAAAATAACTTTCCCCGTGCAGTGACGTAAGTATGCCCCCGCAATTACGGGTGGGGGCGAAAGGCCTGACAAACTTAAGAATTGCCGACAATGGGAATATATGTAGAGGGTCCAATTACTCTTTATGCGGAGAAGGACCCGTCTTTTGTAGTTAAGCCACTCTCCCCATGTCAAGGTCACACAGATGTTCTATAACCGTATAACGTGTAAATGTTTTTGTTATTTTGTTCAGATGTATATGTAATTTTGTGCTTAAAAGAGTCGGCGCGTAATCTGTGTGTATATACGCCTTGGGATTGACCTTTTATTTTTGTTCTTAATAATAATGAAGGAGTGAAACATTTTTAAACCATATTTTCTATATACAGTTGAATGTTGTCATGGAAAACCCCCCACAATCGAAGTAGTTACGAAGGTTAACAAGGCTGACTATTGCCGCTTTGTCAGTGAAGTGTCTGCTTTACAATGAGTTCATAAAAACGCTTGTAATTCTTGTAGTGAACGTAAAATCAGCCCGCGATTTCTTCTGTGCCTTACCATAAATCAAATCAAACAGAAATATTTCACGTGCCTTACCATACATTAAATCAAACAAATATTTCACGTGCCTTACCATACATTAAATCAAACAGAAATATTTCACGTGCCTTACCATACATTAAATCAAACAGAAATATTTCACGTGCCTTACCATA